CTGTGGCAGTTTGAAGACGAGTTGGCAATGTATTGGAAAAATCTGAAGCGAGTGAACAGTTCGACGAGGGCGTCGAACACCGTTGGTGGGGGAGGTCTGTTACCCCCTTAGACGGAGACATCGACTATAACTCAAGTGTGGCCGAGTTATAGTTGAAGTGGTGCCAAGAAGTGTTGGCACAAGGCATGCTACACATGGGCCAAACGGTGGCCGAGAGATGGGCAAGTATTGAGGTGCTTGGCCGAGAATTACAAGGCAAGGATTTCGATTGATTGGCAAGCATTGAGATGCTTGGCCGAGAAAGGCATGGCAAGTGTGGGCATGGCAGGCGGGCTGGATAGCATGCGTGCGGGCATAATCGATCCTTGGGCGCGCGCGCGCCGATTGGGCAAGCCGGGCAGCTAATTGACTTAGGAAGTTACGGAAGGCAGTTGCGGAGCGATTGGCATCAGCAATGACTTAGAAAACCGTCCCTTTTATGTTGTATTAGTGGCTGGCCTGCGTGCCGCCATGTGTCCCTTGGTATTTTAGTGGGTAAACTGCATTGTGCCTTCTATTTATAGGCCCTTGAGTGCACAAGTCCGACCCATTGAGATAGAGGGACTCAGATTGCAATTGTTAGCATCTGTTGTGAGGATTCGTTGTGTGCACCAAGGGCTTTCCTTGTATTATTCGTGAGTGAATCAATAAAGGTTGAGCGTTGCTCGTAAATTGCTTGTGTTGTTCGATTTCCGCTGCATACTTGTTATTGTTGCTATTTATTTGATACAACAATGGTGCAATACGTTTGTGCGAAGAATCGTTGAGTGGGCTGACTGATTTAGTGCGTAAATCAAACCGTACGGTGGAAAAATTTTCGATTATAAATTAACCCCTATAACACCAACCAACGTGAGTTCTTTTTCTCTCTCCTTTTTTTTTGTTAATTATTATTTATTATTGTTTAATTGGTATTTTGCTAATTTATATTTTAATTAATGTAGGTAATTTTAATTAATTTCAGCAGGGTACTTATTGAGGTAAATTTTTTCACTCTTTCAATTATTATTATAGTTAAATAGGATTTTAATTATTAATATAATTTTGTTAAATTTTTATTAATGGTGGATTAATGGAATTTCGATCTAGTAAATTATCAATTAATTTGGAGATAAATTATTTCTTGTATTGTTAAAATATATATAATTTATTATGAAATTCAAATTTTTAATGTTTTTTTTACTTGTTATTTTTATGTTAAACTTTTACTTGTGGTGGATTTAAGAAGGAATGTTTGATTGTGTTTAAATAATTTCTGAAATTTAAATTTTTTTAATGGTTTAAATATGATACGAGTAGAATAATTAGTAGGATAAATTAATTAATTATTAGTGAGTTAGTGGATAAATTGGTAGAATTAGTCATGGCATTAGAATAGGTGTTATCCTCAACAAGGCTACCAACATTGGAACTTAGGTTAAAATCTTACCTTATGAACTATTATGTGGTTTTGTTCGTTTATTGTCTCTTTTTCAACCAGAGTTTTTGTAGAATTTTAGAATTTTCGAACCGTAGACAAGTTTGTTTACTTCTTCCATATTTTATAATTTTAAAGAGACGAATTTTATTGTGTTTTTATCTGTTCAAATTATTGATGTTATTGGTGCTAGTAATCACTGTAAATGTTGTGTGCCATTTTCTTAGTACCATTAATTTATGACCATAAATCGTCTCTTTTACCATGATTAGGGTTTATATTTCAAATTCATGATTGCAAACTATTTGAATTTATGGATATTTAGTCAAAATTCAATATCAATGACTTTAAAATTCTTATTTTTTTCTTTTCAATTTATGAAAATGGTAAAATTACACTTTAGCCCCTCAAGTTTACATCAGTTTCACTTTTGATCCCATGTTTTAATAATTTAACATATTTTCATCTTTTTTTTTTCTTTTTTTTTTAAATAATGGCTGAAATTTAAAATTTGTTGTGTTTTGATTGTTATAATTAGGTGAAATGTAATTTGTGGTTGATTGAGAAGGGATTTACGTTGCTAGCAAATAATAATTATTTGGAGGTATTTATTTGTTATATTTACGTGGCTGAAATTTTCTTCTTCCTGATTTTTGCGCCGGTTTTCAGCGTTGGCCGGCGGTCAATGCCGGTCTCCGGCGTTGATTTTCTTTTTTCATTTTTTCCCCTGATTTTTCCGCCACTGGTTTCGGGCGTTGACTGGCGGTCAACGTTGGTCTGACGTTGACTTTTTCGATTTTTTTTTTCTTTAACATCTTTTCCCCCCTCCCGTTTAAAGAATAATATTGTTGTGATTGCCAGTAATATTAACTATATTACTGTTAAACACAGTAAAATTAACTATATTGCAGTTTAACACAGTAATATTGCTATATTAATCTCTAGCACAATAATATTAACACAGCAAAACTCATTATTATTGTGTAATAGAGTAATATTAATATGTTGACCGCTCAACAAAGGTAAACATAATAAAACCCAAAAGAATTAATATTACTGTGAGTGACAGTAATATTACTATAACAATAGTAATATTACTGTCAACCACAGTAATATTATTGTATTTACAGTAATATTACAATAATAGACAGTAATATTATTACATTACTTTGTGAATAACTCAAACAACCCCAAAAAATAATAATATTACTGTGATTGACAGTAATGTTACTATAACAACAGTAATATTATCGTCAACCACAGTAATATTATTGTGTTTACAGTAATATTACAATAATAGACATTAATATTATTATGTTACTCCGTGAATAACTCAAACAAAACAAAAAAAACCCAAAAATAATAATAATATTGATGTGGTTAACAGTAATATTACTATAACAACAGTAATATTACCGTCAACCACATTAATATTATTGTGTTTACAGTAATATTACAATAATAGACAGTGATATCATTACGTTACTCCGTGAATAACTCAAATAAAACAAAAAACCCAAAAAATAATTATATTGATGTGGTTGCCAGTAATATTATTGTGTTTACAGTTATTTTATTGTCAACGACAGTAATATAATTACGTTGACTTGTCAACAAATCAAAAAAAAAAATAATAATAATATTGTCATTGACTCTAATTGTACTGTCAACAGCAGTACAATTACATAAATGTATTGTCAACGGCAGTACAATTACGTTAATGTACAGTCAGTGACAGTATAATTACGTTAATTTACTGTCAGTGACAGTATAATTACCGTTAAAGACAACATAATTACGGTCAACGTTTAGCAGCGGACTTAAAAAAAAAAACACTAGAAAAAAGTCAACGCCGGAATCCGGCGTCGGAAAAAACAGATCATAAAAAAAGAAATCGAAAAGTCAACGCCGGAAACCGGCGGCAAAAGAATACTTTTTGAAGAAAAAAAATATTTGGAAAAAAAAAATTTGGATTTTTGTGGTCCAAATTGATTAAATTGGGGTTACAATTAAGAATTGGGTGTAAAGGGTTGGGTGCAATTTTGGGATTTTTTGCACAAACCACCACTGTGTAATCTTGAATAGCTGAAAAATCCCTCATGTTAAAAATATTAGCAAAAAATTCAATATGAAAAATAGTCAAAGCCAAAAAAGATCCTATGAGCTTGATGTGTTATACACTCGCGCTTTGTGCGACTGGCCATCTGATTTTGGAACTAGAAAGACCTACTAAATACCCTTGAAATCATTTTTTTTTGAAATTTATAAATTTATCCAGTATTTTTCATAATGAAGTTTTCAGAATTTTCAATTCAATCCTTAATAATTTCAGAAAAGCCCTCCCTCCAAATTGCATAGGACCAAATTGCAATTTTCATAATTTCTCAAAACCTCATCTTCTTTCTCCGTCTCCTTCTTCAGATCTGTTCCTCGCTACGAAACAATATCAAGCAGTTCATCTTCTTAAACAACCCGTTTGCAAAAGAAGAAAAACCAACAAAAGTTGCACTTCACGATGGAACCTTGTGTGTATGAGAGAGAGAGAGAGAGAGAGAGAGAGAGAGAGAGAGAGAGAGAGAGAGAGAGAGAGAGAGAGAGAGAGAGAGAGAGAGAGAGAGAGAGAGAGAGAGAGAGAGGGCCCGATCTGCCATGGATGATTCATCCGGCCCGGATGATGCCGCCTCCATACCCACCGCCGACGAAGAGATGAGAAGAATAGGGTGGCGATCCAAAAATCTTGATTCAAAAGAAATCTGGAAGAACCCATCAAACATAAAGCATAATTTTATTTGGGTGGGAAGGCAGGTGGTGCGGCCGTGGTGGTGAGGTGGTGGTGATGCGGATGGAAGAATTTTGGGTTGGGGGAGGAGATGATGGCCGTGGGTTTTCTTATTTTTCTTCCTTGGGTAAATTACAACCACCCCTGAGGTATGGTCAAATTACGAAAACCCCCCTCTTGTTTGGCTAATTACAACCACCTCTCAACTCCTCAAATTTAGTGGAATCTTCGAGATCATATGGAATATTATCACTTTTGTACCCGTATTCGAACTCTACATTTTGAAGCAAGCAAGATGATCATAATATGTGTTTTTTGACTTGTATATATCAGATTATGGTGCATCATAAACTGTATTTTTATACAAAACGAGTACAAACTAGAGCACATTCCACGAAATCTAGATGATTATGTTGAATTTGATACCATAAGGGTGGATGTGTAAGAAAAAAAAACATAATTGAGGGGAGTAGATGTAATTATCCAAATAAGAGGGGTTTTTTTTGTAAATTAACCATACCTTAGGGGGTGTTTGTAATTTACCCTTCTTTCTTTTATCTTTTTGGATTTTTTCTAATTAAATTCATTTTGCATTTTTATTTATTTATAATTGAAACATAAATTATTATAATACGAGGGTTAATTTAGTCATTTCTTATAAGTCAACTGCTAATTTCGTATTTTACATGGTAATGGTAGAAGTGTAGTTGCCGGATAAAATTTAACCGGCCATATCGTCCCATTTCATAGTACAGGAAAGTAAATACGACATTGGTTATAATACAAGGGTGCAAATGTATGACCTTTAAGCTTACTCAATGCCCACTTTGAAGCTGAACAGCTTGGACTATGCTATACTGTTCGTCTGAAATTTATCTATCGAAAAAGATAAGGAAGCCATAGATGGCTGCTTACGGAGCTCTAGTTTCTCTCAGCAATATTCTTGACCAGATCCTCCTCCACCCACCTCCTGCTCATCACTTCATTTTCGTTAGAGAACAGATCGAGTCTCTTCAAATTAGGGTTCTTTCATTGCTCGATTTTCTGGAAAATCATTATTCCTGCAAACTCAGCAGCAAAGAGATGGATGATTTGGAATCGCGAATCGTAGACGCGTCTTACGCAGCAGAGGATGTAATTGAATCCAATTTGAGGAACCAAATATGTGCTAAATCCACTAAGGAGAATTTGGTGTCGGTGGAGATGGAGCAAAATAGAGAAATACATATGATGATACAAAAGTTCCTCTCCATCGAGAAGGATTTGGTGGACAAAAATGAAGGCATGGATAACCAGTCTACTAGGAAAGCTTCTTCATCAGCGCTGCCTCTTCGGATTGGCAAGAACACCATGGTGGGATTCGAGGATCACTTGATTCAAATAATGGGCGCTCTCTCTACCGACGAATCGGGCCGCCGGATTATCCCTATTGTTGGGATGGGTGGCATAGGTAAGACTAACCTTGCCACTAATGTTTTTAACAATCCTTTTATCATTGAAAAGTTCGATATTCGTGCTTGGTTTGTTGTATCCCAAGAATGTACTGGCAAAGAGATTCTTCTAGGCCTTTTGCATCAGATTATTAATCCTACCAATCGAAATGAACTTGAGATGAATGATGATGATGTATTGGGAGAAAAGTTGCACAAAACTTTGTTTGGGAGAAAATATTTCATAGTAATGGATGACATGTGGGATATCACGGCTTGGGAGATTGTGAAAAGGTTCCTTCCCGATAATAATAATGGAAGTCGAATCTTGGTAACTACTAGGCTGTTGAAGTTGGCTGTGGATCTTGGATCTTGTACCCCTTATGAATTGAATTTACTAGACGAAGCACAAAGTTGGGATCTACTTCGTGAAAAGGTATTTCCAGAAGGACGTTGCCCTGTTGAATTGGAGGAAATTGGAAGAAATATTGCGAGAAAATGCAGAGGGCTTCCTTTGGCCCTTGTTGTCATTGGTGGGCTTCTTGCAAAGTCCAAAACAGAAGATTGGAAGTACGTCGAAGAAGATGTAACTTCGGCAGTGAACAATGAAGATGACGAGTTATGCATGAAGGTAATATCGTTGAGTTATAATCACTTGCCTATATATCTCAAGCCTTGTTTCCTATATTTGGCCGTATTTCCACAAGATTTTGATATCAAAATGTCGAGGCTCGTCAGGTTGTGGGTTGCAGAAGGATTTGTTAGACAATGTGGGCCTAAAAGCTTAGAAGAAATTGGAGAGGAGTATTTGAAGGATCTTATAGATAGGAATCTTATTTTGGTTAGTAAGAGAGGTATTAGTGGAGAAGTGAAGACCTGCCACATTCATGATCTTTTAAGCGATCTATGCAGGAGAGAAGCTCAGAAAGGTAATTTTCTAGTCCTCTCAAAGCTGGATAACAACAAAGCTTCGTTAGATATGGAGAGCATACGCCGCCTCAGCATTAATAATGGCCAATGGAAAGATGCCACACTAACGGCATCTATTCGGTCTTTCTTAACCTTCTTTTCTATGAATTTGTCTACTTATAGTGCTTGTCGGTCTCCGTTACTACGGGTATTGGATGTGGTTGACAGATATCCCAAAGATGAGATTCTACAGCTAATTAACTCAAGATATGTCTCTTGCACGGGTTTGATCTCTATGTCGTCGTCTTCTATATTATCCCGACTTTGGTGCCTACAAACCTTAGTTGTTGGTGGAGAGTTGACTCTACCAAGGGAGATATGGCAGATGCCCCAACTTCGACATGTTCAGGCGCGGAGAATTTCTCTACCTGATCCTCCTTCACGTGGCGAAAAAATCACAGTTCTTGAAAATCTACAAACACTTTCAATAGTCAAAGATTTCAAATGTACTAAAGAGGTAACTAAACAAATCCCGAATCTGAAGAAGTTGGGAATTGTTTGTCCGACAATTGGATCTTATAGTTTAAGCAATCTTGGATTTTTCCATAAACTTGAATCACTAAGTCTAGCATTTGTTGGTAAGCGTGGTCGTGGTCCTCGTGGAAACATGGTCTTTCCAAGTTCACTTAAAAAATTGGTCTTAAGTGAATGCAAGATTCCATGGGAAGATATGTCCATTGTTGGTTCCTTACCGAATCTTGAAGTTCTCAAACTGCGGTCGAATGCTGCTGTAGGGCAAAAGTGGATTTCAAATGAAGGGGAATTCGCTCGACTAAAGTACTTGTTGATTCATGAGTGTGAGTTGGAGATTTGGGAATCAGACAATACACATTTCCCATGTCTTGAGCAAATGCATCTCGGAACCGTGAGCCTGAAGCAGATCCCTTCAGATTTTGCAGAAATATTACCACTTCAAGTGATTGACTTGTACCGCTGCAAAAGTTCCCTATTGGCATCGGTAAAGGAAGTATCGGAGGAAAGAGAGAACCTAGGATATGACGCTCTTCAAATTCGAAGTTCTGTGTTTGCACTGCTCAGAATTTCTGTGCAGAGAGGTATCAATCTTGCTCTTGGCAATGGCCGCAGCAGAGATCCTTATGCTGTTGTCAGGATGTCCAAACAGGTTTTGTGTTCTTACTTGTTCGTTTTCTTATAGGTTTTTCTAAACAGAATTGCAATTTACTATAAATCATTGCGATGCAGATTTTGAAGACTCATGTTGTTACAGAGACTGTTAATCCCGAATGGCATGACGATTTGACGGTAGCTGTTTTAGATCCTAGTCAACCAGTTTCTGTGGTGAGCCTCTTTCTTTAGCGATAAAATTAAAACAAATTATTAGGTTGTGCTATTGATCCTTCTGGTTCTAGACTAGATACACGTTTTAAAAAAAGAAAATTCAGTTTGATATATCAAGAACAAATTTGAGCTTTCTAAAATCAGATATTTTTGTTTTTCAATTGTTTTGAGTTTGAATATTAACTAATGCAGTTTTAGTGATCTCAAGATTTGAATCTTCTGCCTCTTTCTTAATGAAAATTCGGTTCGGTATTTGGTAATTGTTATTTTTGAATTCCGATATTCGGTATGGTATACGGTATTGGTGTCCACCGTCTGGTATACCGTACCGTACCGAATACCTAAATATTTAATATATATTTATTTTTTTCTTTTATTTTAAATCCTTTCAGGTTATAAAAATATTCTAAAATACTTGTAGATTGATAATGTTTTCCATTATTTACAAATTAGCCTCTATTGATAATCACGTTATGTTTTTAGGGCCGGTAATTGAAATATGAATGTCAAATTCAAGAATTATTTCGTTTAAATTGTTATTTTACCTTTTCTAAAATAAGAAAATATATTTCGGTTTTACCGGTACCGAACCGAATAATTCGGTAAAAAACCATACGGAACCGAAATATATTTTCTTATTAGAAACCGCAATACCTATATGTTGATTCTATGTGTACGTATGGTTGTAGACAGTGTACGACAAAAACGTGTTCATTGCGGATGAGAAGATGGGAGACGCAGAGTTTGATATTAGACCATTTGTACAAGCGTTTAAGATGCATCCAAATGGCCTACCAAACGGTACAATAACCACAAGAATATTGCCTTCAAGCTCCAATTGCCTGTCTGAAGAGAGTTTCATTTTCTGGAAGGATGGCAATCTAATGCAGGATATGTGCCTCGGACTGAGAAATATCGAATCCGGCCAAGTCAAACTTCAGCTGCGGTGCATTGATATTCCTCTTCCTATCGTGGATTTTTTTTAATAGTTTTATTTTTTCTTTCTTTCCTTCTTTCTTTTGTTTGGTTTTTCGTATTTAAGGTTCTCTGGGAATGAAAACTTCACGTTTATGTCCGACAAAATTTTGACTTGTGCAATCCATTTTGGACTTCCGGAAAAAATAGGAATTTTTACGAAAGGGCTAATTCCAATACGTTTGCACCCCTAAATTATATATATATAAATTGTACTCACCTTGCCATTTGACAACTACATCCCTGAAATATGGCTTTTGTCAACCACTCCCTCAAATATTTAAAATTTTGGCATCTATGTATATAAATTAATCCCTAGAAGAATATCTGATATGAAGTTGGAGTTGGCCAGAATCGATTTTCGATCCGAGGCACATGTCCTGCATTATGATGCGGTGTTCCCAGAAAAAAAACGGAACTCTCTTCGGCTAAGCAATTGGAGTCTGCAGGCCGTATTGTTGTTCTTAAGAGATTAATCATTAAATAGCTTTCTTGTGTTGCTGATGTTAAGTTCTCGTGTTTTGACGACAGATATTAATCCTGAATGGGATAAGAAACTCAGAATTCGTGTTGCAAATTGTAGTAATTCAATTTCTCTGGTGAGGTTCTTTAATTTACAATATATAAAAAAAAATCTGATTATAACATGTTCTACAATATTTCTGAGTTAAAAAGAGTAAACTGCAAAATGTACCCATGTGTAATCTATAAATAGCGAAAACCCCCCTATGATAAATAAACTAGCAACAACCCCCTTTGAAATTATTTAAATAGCACATTCGGCCCATTTATCATTTGAGTGTTGACTTCATATAAAAAGACCCAAATACCCCCGGGATTTTGCAATTAATAAATTCTTATATTTTTTAAATATTTTAATTATTTTATTTTTGTTATATCTTAATTATAAAGGTACAATGGGGTCTTTAATTTATTTTTGTTTATATTATCACATAGTTTTTGTATATATTTTAAATTATCGCTATATCAAAAGAAAATTTAAATTCCGTTATTATATATTTAAAAAAATCTATACTTAATTTGATTAACAAATTTTTAATAATTTTTAAATTTAATTATTTACTATTTTTTAACGATATTTTAATTTCTAAACAATCAAATTAAAAGGAAAATTTATATACATATAATATATATACATATAAATACATTTTTAGGGACAATTTCGTCATTTCATGTCCAAAAACCTACTACCAATCGCGCAACCCGCGAGTGAGCCACACTTAAGTCAACCGGGGGGTTTTTGCCTTTGACTAAATTTCACAGGGTGGTTTTTGCGAGTTTATTTATCACAGGGGGGTTTTTGCTATTTAGAGATTATACAGGGGTACTTTTTGCAGTTTACTCGAGTTAAAAATGTGAAATTCAGTGTACAATGAGTTCAATGTGCATTTATTATTATAGATTGGAAATTTTTAGGCCCAATGTATGCTGATTCATAGTGTATCTATGGTTGTAGCATTGCATAACCACACCAATTAAGTAGACTGTTTGGATACTAGACCGTTTGTAGAAGCCCTGAAATTGAATCCAAATGGCCTTCCAAATTGTCCAGTAAGTATAATATTGCCCATATATGCAATTTTTGGCCAAACTTCATTCAATATTCTGGTCATGCATTTAACATTTTTGCTGATTTTTTTTTGTATTATTTTTTTTTTTTTTGTTTTTTTTTTAAAACCTGTTTGTTTATTTTATTATTATTATTTTTTTTAATATTTTTTAAAAATCGATATGTTTACTGTACTGAAAATTACTACATGTAACTATAGTAAACTATAGTAATTCGTAGTTATGTTCTTTCTTTTTACCCCAAATTTTTAGCCGACCAATTATATACACACGCGAATATTAGCTTATAAAAAAAGAAATTCATAAACCCAACAACAAAAATTTAAAATTTCAATATTTATATTATAAATCAACTCATAACCAACAAATATAAATCAAAAATACAAAATTATATGCATATGTTACTATATGTAACTAGTAATGTACAATAATGTATGCAATCTGTAGAACAATATAACTTGAAGCAGATGTAACTTCAACCAAATTTTTTGACACCTTCAAGGAAGAGGATCAATGGCTTCCATTAAGCTGCATTTGCAAAATCAAAATAATTTTTTTTTTATTATTTTAGTGCAAATTAACAAGAATTGAAGAAACAAAACACTCAAAAGTCAACAAACGCTAAGAGAGAGAGAGAGAGAGGCCATGGCTGCGAAATACTATGAATTTTAGACTAAACCGCCAATGACTTTTCACCCCAAGCGCCTCCTACCAAAACCACGTTGCCTCCAACCACCTAAGTTTCTGCACTCGCAATGAAAAAAATTACAGAAACAAATCTGCCAATAAAAAATTGAATGAAATTACCATAAAAAAATCTCAACGAGAGGAATCCAAAGGTTGGTAGCCCCTCAAATTCCGACTGTCGGGACACAAATTACTCATCCGGCAAGACCCACCGTCGTTGAAATATGCGGGGACTGTAAAACGATTGCAAAAACAGTTCCAGAGTTCCAGACCGAATGAAATCACCACCAAAAGAATGAACTCGGCGAGGGGAATCCAACAGTAGTTAAACCATCGAAATCCGACCACCGGAGATAGAGTTATGACTCCGGAAAGCAACATCGCCGGTTAGAGACCTATGGCGGGGGGAGGGGATTTTGATCTGGGAGTTCAAAGAGAAAGAGAGAGGCGGTTGTGAGTTGACTAGAGTTTAAAACTGATTTAAAAAGACATTTTAGGTACTTCAAATTGGCGAGGGATTATGTCAAATTAATATTAAAAATGAGGGGTATCCACCACAATGTAATCCTCTTGGTGATTAGTTCCAAATATTTTCCATATGAGGGGGTCTCTTAAAATAATCCCAAATGTAGTGGGGGTAAATTAGACAATTCAATAGTACTCTATTTTATATTATTTAATAATAAACTTTTCCTCGAAGGGTACATTTGTAAATGACTCATTGATTGTAATACCATTCGTGTTAGTTTTTTAGGGTTCAGATCTAATCTTTCAAAATTAATGGTGAGTGGAACATATCTCATATGAGTTTAGAACACGGATATCTCACCCCAAATTATATAGTACAAATGATCTTGAAAGGAAACAAGTTACTCTATGCTAATTAACATTGGAGAATTAATCGTTCATTCATGTTCGGAAAATATTCTCCTTCAATCTGGGTCATCAATGGAAAATAAAAAGAAATCATGAATATAGTGTATCATACCTAAAATACCATAATATTATGTTTTTATTATTTTATTTTATTTTAATAAAACAATAATAAGGGTGTGCCGATAATTGTATAATACCATACGAGGTTCGACGCGAACAAAGCTAAGGCAAGAGGGAAATACGAGAGCCAAGAGAATGATAGTCTGGGAAAACAGAGCAACAAAGCTAAGGCAATAACGAAATACGAGAGCCAAGAGAATGATAGTCTGGGAAAACAGAGCATCTCTGTTGTTTCGGTGAAATTTTAAGTACGTAACAGTTTCAAGATTATATAATAATTAACATAATTTCACTCTACGTACCAATCATGATATATTGTGTAATAACAAGGATTGTGTAGAAGGGGGTAAAGTGATATCGAGCCAAAGTACAAGGGAAGAAATTAAAATTTACCCTTAAATTAATTATCACTAAAATATAGTCAGGGGTAAATTAGACAATTTGATGTTAATCTATTTTAAATTCGTTTAATAAAATAATTAATCGAAGGCTACTTGGTAATGATTCATTATTTGTAAGACTACCCAGTATATTTTCCTAGAGTCGAGATCTAATCTTATAAAATTAGTGTTAATTAGATCATATCTCATATGAGTTTATAATACGGGGTATCTCAGCCTATATGAACCCCCAACATTAATATAAAAATAGCTAGTACTGGATTATTTAGAGTAGCATAATTAAAATACCATAATACCAAAAAAAAACCAAAAATAAAATAAAAAATAAACCATAATATAATTTTTAATGTTTGAATAAAGTAGTAATAAAAAAGGGTACGTAACAATAGCATGCATATGCATAATAATAAGTAGAGTCGTCGAAGAAGCTAATAGGTAAGGAGTGAAGGAAAGAAGCTAGCGAAGAGAATAATAGGTGGGGCAAACAGAGCATGTGCCGTGGGAATCCGACGACATCTCGTCGGAAACATGTCTGTGTTTCTCCAACACATGGAGTTTTAACAGAACGTCGACAGTACAGTTTTGGTCAACGTTTTCCCTGACTATGGTCAGCACATCTTCGATCAATTGGCTGCGCTCGGAGCTGCTTAGTGGCCAACCTTGGAATCCTTGGCTGATGACTTCACGTGCTGTGTCTGGGTACGTGAATAATTGGCGGCAGCCGACGGAGATTGATTTATACGCTTGGGGTTTATCGACTCGCTGGAGAAACTCTGGAACCGAGCAATATGGCCGTTGAATCCAATCGTAGTAAGCCGATACAAAACTGAATTTCAAGAAGATGACGGCCTCTTGATACATCGAGGACCGTAGGGTTTTAAACTCATTCATTACTAAGTTTACTGTTTTGTCGCAGGAGTTGGAATATCCCATCACGAAAGATTATTAATTGAACAACAATTGAAGAGAGAGAGAGACTAAAAGTAGTGAACCCACGGAGGGAGAGGGTGGGAGGGAGGGTATTATTTATAACTTATAAGGTTGTTGTTACCTTGTTAATTAATCATTCTTGTTATAGCAGGATTAATTTTTTTAAGAAACAAAATCAGCTGTTTTCTTTTTCTTTTCTTTTTTTTATCGAAAAATTCCTTCACTGTGAACGGCAAAAAGGGGAATTTATGCAAGCAAAAATATAATAAAAGGGAGTTTTACAATAAAAATAACACACAGAGGTTTAGGGAAAATTTTCCTTAATTTATTTTGATGTTCCCCCATTCCTCAACAAGATATTATAAAAAAATTATAATAAAATCGAATAATCTGGTAAAATTCGAACTATATTATATTTCCCATGAATAGGGCAATTTTTACATTAAATCGTTTGAAAAGTAAAAAAACAAAACTGTATTATAAATCTGCAAGAATCTTGGAATACAATAGAAATGCGGGGTTTTTTGCAAATACCGCCCCTATGTAATCTCTAATTGCC